GGGGGGGTGTCAAATAAGGCCCAACACAACAGGCTTTGTCCATCATGGATGTGGTCAATCCTACATCCCTCTCTATCATTTACAATGCCCAAATCTTTTCATTCAAGTAATTGCAATTGTCATCATTGGCAGCCATTAAATCAAAGCCATTAGCAAATAACCATGTAAACCCCATTGGTGTTAAGTGTCAAAAATAAAACCATGTGTCTACAACTTATTTGAAACAAAAAGCACAAGGTTCAAAATACACTCTATAAATTCAGTGATCAAAACCAAGTCCCAAAAATGTAGAAGTCACATGGTGCTAACATAACAACAAGCATAGCACCATAAATCATATATAACGACATGAATTATAAGGATACTCTCTCCTCAGCTGCAACAAGTGGACCTTTAGACATGGACCCATATCCATTTTCTGAACAACAGAAAGAAAACAAGAAGTTTGGAATCCAAAATTCTAACGTCACAATTACTTACAGAGAAAATTATCTGCAAGTATCTGCAACTCAAAAATGACTTAAAGATGAAGTTGAACAAATATATATGAGATCATCACATAAAACAACTCTACCCATAAGTATTACCCCAGCATACGGTATCTACCAAACAATTGCAGACCCACTAAAATACTTTCCTCAACTCATAAACGATACATGTTATCATAGCACTTGACAATAAAATAGAATTGGAAAAAAGTAATAATTAAAATTATAAAGAAACTAGTAGTGCAACCAACAATACCTAGTTTATTTGTCCTCCATCTCACATACCCATGATAAATAGAAAATTTAAATCTGTCGCACCTTTTTCTTTCCAACACCTCACAGGTAACCAAATTAATCAAATGAAAATTATCAGCAACAGCATACCTACCATTTGAATTTAGTTCCCATCCAAGTTAACAACCAATTATAAATATAAAACTTTGACCGAAGGAAGCTGTTAAACTGCCCTCTCTGATATCCACAGAGGGCTGAAATTCCCCCAATGATCTTCTTGAGGAGAGATGAAGAACCCACCACAGCATCACCCCCCAATCTGTAACCCCTATTCCAATTCTTACACCTCCTAGGCTACCAAAGTAACCAAATATTGCCAATAACAAGTTAAAAACATACTTATCACTTCCATGCATGCATACTCCTTCCCTTTGTTGTCTCCAACTATGTACAAAACAATTACAACCTCAAATACTCAAGTCTACACCCTCCATTGGTTCAGACAGACTACAACCTCCCATCCACCAAACCAATCAATAAAGTCCGCAACTCTGCATACTATCCCCAATTTAATTCCATGTGCCTTTCTAAACTCCTCCCTAATTGGCAGAATTTTCCATGTGTATACCCTTCTTTTCTCTTGTTTTTTCTTTATATTTCATTATTATAAAGCACTTTCAACATGCTTCTAGTATTAGTCTTGCTAAATACATGTAATTCACCCTTAAAAAATCTGCTTCCTTGCGACATTCGTCTCTCCCTTAAAGAATCACATTTTTAACAAATAAAAACAAATGACCTCACTTGCATCCGTCAGTTATTTATTGGTTTATATAACAGAAGCAAAGATTTAAAAAGAAAATAAACATAAAATAAACCTAGCCATTTGGTTTCCAAAATTAGGAGTAACAACAACATAACTCTGGCTACATTCTAAAAACCAGATGGTGTATATCTGTCAGTTTCCCTTCTAGGCTTCTACCTTGCCCCCACTCCCTCCCCAAAAACTTGTACTGCTTCTAAAACCCCAAATTTTCTCAGAAATCAAACACAGACAATCACTTCGAAAACATATAGCAGGGTTCAAAGGGAAAGAAAATGGATGTCAACCATTAACAATTAATTATCGAAGCATAAAGAAAAGAGAAACGGATTAACGAATCAATGAGGAGATACCGTTAATTGGAAGCGCTCGTGAGAGCAAAGGCCGGACAAGTAGAGGCGGCAGACATCGCGGTCGTAGTACTTCCGATTCACCTCCCTTACGTCGCCATTGCGATCCGCGCCCATCAGCACATCGAACTGCTTCCCCATGGCATCCATCTTTTTTCTCTTACCCTCTTTCTCTGTCAAAGGAAATAAGCACTCGGCCTCTGTTTAAGGTGTTTGCTTGGCCCCTGTTCGTTTGGAATGAGGGAGTTGAGGGGAAACGGGACTAGAGTGAAAGAGAGGTCCTTAGTTTTTTCGTTTTTTTTTTTTGGAAAAAGTAATTATATATAGGAGGGAGACGAAGAGGAGACTAATTTGAAAGATTTGCAGGGATTTTATTTTATTTTAGGTTAAATGCTAAATTTAGTTCTTTAACTTTATAAAATGCATATTTTTGGTCTCTCAGCAATTTTTTGCACTTTTTTGATTCCTCAACTATACGAAATGCACTCCGTTAGTCCTTTCGTCAATTTGGACCGTTAACTCGCCATGTGACATTTTTTATATTTTTTTTGATGACATGTCAATGACATGGATAAAACAACCTAAAAGGATACTAATATGGACAAAACATTATGCCACGTAATATTATCACAAATCAAACGCACTAAAACTTGTAAAGAACTATGAACCCTAGAATGCTTCAGAGCAAAATTTGAGTTTTCTGTCATCGAACCTAGTTCCTGGTTTCATTAAAGCCACTGAGTTCATCAAGGCAATCAATCTCATCAAATCAAATTAACCATTCAATAAACAATATTAATCAAACTCTAATCCAATTCCAACAAAAATGCAACCAAATTGTAAATCAACTCTCAAATTTGTCAAGAACTGGAAATGAAAATCGAAAGAAGAATGAAAAAACATGAACCCAATGTCGAAACCCAGTCTCGACGAAACCACTAAGGCTGGGTTCATGTGACCAACAAGGCTAGGTTGGTCGAAACCCAACCTTGCTGGTCACGTGAACCCAACAGTTGGGTTTCGACGAACCCAGCAAGGCTGGGTTTGGGCAACCAGCAAGGTTGGGTTTTGATGAACCCAACAGCTGGGTTCATCTTGCTCGAACCCAAACCTAAGAGGTTTTCTTCATTTTGCTTAAACCTAGATCTACAAGGTTTGTTCATCTTGCTTGAACCTAGATCTTGCTCGAACCCAGATCTTGCTCAAATCCATATTTTAGAAAAAAAAGTCAAACAAAGGATGGGAGGGAGGGGAGGGGAAGAGACGAGAAGTTGGCACCAGAAAAAGTAAAAGAGAAGGAGAAGCTACTAGAGACAAGGAGAGGGAGGGAGAAGTTGTCAAAGTTTAGAGTTAATGAATAAAGGGGAGAAAAGAGGAAATCAGGGGAAGAAGATGAAGTTAAGGGCATTTATGTAATTTTGAAGTTTTTATTATTTATTAAATGAAGTGGGTAAAGTTTATTTGCAACGTGGCATAGGTTTTAGTCCAAATAAGCATATTTTTCTACTTGTATTATCCATGTCATCAAACAAAATATAAAAAATGCCACATGAGCGGACTTAACGGTTCAAATTGACGGAAGAACTAATGTTGTGCATTTCTTAAAGTTAAGGGATAAAAAAAGTATAAAAAATTGTTAAGGGATCAAAAAAGTGCAACTCTATAAAGTTGAGAGACCAAATTTAGCATTTAACCTTTATTTTATTTTATTGTTTTTTTAAATACAACTAAAATTTATATTTTAACTTAATTATAAAATATAAATTTATAAAACTTTGATTAATTTTATAATTATTTTTTAATTTATTTAATTAAATAAAAAATAATATAATCTTCTCATCTCTTCTATTTTTTTAATCTATCTAAATAAAACTAATACTAATTCTTTATTTCTTTTTCCTTCTCTTCTCTTCCTTTTTCCTCCCTTTCCTTCACTTTCCTTTACTAATATTTATCCAAACATATCCTTAGAGGTTTCTAATTAATGAACCCATTCAATCCTCCTTATTTGTGCAATTTCAATGTTATTTTATTTACATACTCATCCTTTAAAGTTTTACTTTGACTTAAGGTTTAGAATGTTGTTATATCTATAATTGTAGATTTTTTCTAATATTTTAAAAATATATAAAAATATATTTAATATTTATTTTAATTAATATTTTATATATTTTAAAATAATAAAAAAATAAAAACTAAAAAATAAAATATGAAAAGATGTTATCAAACACAACCTTAGCTATTTCCTATGCCATAGAGTTTTACTTAATTGTTTCTTGTGCCATAGAGTTTTACTTATTTACATATTAAGTGTATCAATTATTTCATTTTTATTTTAGAGTGGAGAAAAGAGGGAATGAGGAAAGTAAAAAACAAGAATTAAAAGGTTGTATTCTCTAAGAGTCTGTCTAATCTATACTTTTTAGGCATTAGTTATGGGTGCATTAATATCTATCTTGTATGAAAATTTTATTGGAGTTAAAATCATGATTAGGACTTTTAGAGAAGAGATATTTGAAAATTCAAAAATATTTAGATAAGTCATTCATGTTGACATTAGGGGCAGACCAATCTAGAATAATATTTTGCATTATTTCTCATAATTTCCTCTCTCTTTTCCTCTCAACCAATTTTTTTTTCCACTCCAAACACCCCTGATTCTCTTGTTAACATCGAACCAACATATCTTTAGTTTTCTAATTTCCTCATTCCCTACTTCCTCCACTTTAAAAAAGGAATTGATGAAAATCTAAATGTCCTTTCTCTGTATAAAGTATTTTTCACATCTTTGGTTGAGTTTAAAATTAATTGAAAATTGTTTAATTCTTTTAATGGTTACATTGTTTTCACATTAACTTGCATGTATCTCAAAATTAAAGAATAATTTTATAAGCAAGACCCTCCTTTTGGCCTAGGGCTTTATGTAAAGTAAAAGGATGAGTCCACCATTGAAGGTGGTTAGTCCCCAAGAACAAAGTCATTCCCCAATGGGACATTGTTTTCTCATTTAGTCTAGGGCTTTGGTGTAAGGCATTGGAGGTCTGCATGGTAGTGTCACAAAGTTCTGATCTAGGGGTGTATTAGAGCTATTGTTGGTGCCAACCTATGCTTACTAGTGCTTGATGGATGGAGGGTTAGGTTGGTTGTCCATGGGAGGTTGGTATGTAGATCATTGCAATGGGAGCAGGAGTGGCACAAATGCCCTTCTCAGATTCGAGGTAGATAGGGGCACTAGCTTTAATCTCCTAAAGATTTATGTGCAAAATCCTTAATGGTATGTTTCATTTGAAGGAAATGGAGGGGAGGCGAGGGGAAGGGAATGATGGATTTTTTTTATCAATCAGATTGTAATATTTAAAAATGTTATAATTTAATAAATTAAAGAATTCATTCCTCCCCTTTGTTTCCCTCAAACCAAACATATCCAAAGATAACGTTGGCTACATGATGGAAGGCAGTAAGGTGTAAAAGGGGGTGGCTTGTGGCATGGATGGTGGGTCGAGAGCAGCATGCTAAGGCATGTTGAATTTTGGATGGCCAACCCATCAAGTTTTGAAGAGTTATAGTTTTTGTCATTTTCTCTATGCTTTGTGTAGTATAGTTATGATTTTTTGTTTTTAATTTTGGTTTTCTTAAATTTTACGATTATTAAAACCCAACACTAAAAATAAAAAACTTATAATTTATTTAAGTTGAGTTTTAACATTGACAACAAAAAATATAAACTTGTTTAATAATATTAAAATTATTTTGTTCTTAATATTTAAATAATTATGATAGTATGTTGCAAAAACACATTAAAATAAAAACAAAAAACCATAGTTATACTAAATAGAACCTTAATTTTAGCTTAGGGATTGAATTCTAAATTTGTAATCTTACTACTAGATTACATAGTTGATGATCTAAATAGAGCCTTAATATTATTATAAGCTTGGTTCCTTCTTTTGGGTTTGGTCTAGGTTGAACTAACTAGGTATAGGAGATCCTGTGAGCAAAGGTTTATAATAAATAAGGTGATAGGCTAGATTTTGCTATTCAAAGTTTGCTATGTGGTCTTGTTGCAACAAACCAAAGAGAACGTGGTATCACAAGATCTATCTAGAATTTGCTTTGGTAGTTAAACGATGCTTCTTTAAGAGGTGAGATGATAATTTTTTCAAGGGATTACCAATCACGCATGTTTTCTAAAATTTGTAATTTATGACTATGACCATTTTATTTATAGACTTTATAAACCAACTTCCTAAATTATTAATGGAATTGTCATTCATAAAAAGAGAAAGGGAGAACAATTTTAAGAGCAAACCTCCATTTAAAAATTGTCTTAACATCTTCCTAAATTTGAATAGTTTTAAGTGGAAATCTCAAATGGTTAAAAATTTGAAATCTAAGTTAATGATTTGATATCAAATCTTAAGACATGAAAAAAAATTAAAGAAATGTATAAGCTATTTTTCATTGTATAACTAATTTATTATTTGATGTAAACAAAAATAAAATAGTTTTACAATCTAGTTCGACCTTCTTTTAATTTAGAAATAAAATTTTTCTTCAACTTGAGAAATTACATATACTCTCTTATATTTTAACCCCGAATTATTATAACTTCAAAAATTAAGGGTAAAATAATTGAAATTGACTTTTTATTAAATTTATAATGACATGAAAAAAAAAATTCAGGGACTAACCAAAAAAATTGAAACGATAAAGTGTCATCCGTCGGTTTTGAGGAATCCAATCACTGTTTTTCACTCCACAAAACCTGTCGATTTCTCCTCTTAAGTCTTAACAGCAAAACCAGAAAAATGAAGAAAGGAGTGATATTAGCTTTATTTCTCACTCTCACTCTCATGCTCCTCTCCTTCCCCTCTTTCCAATTCAAATCCGATGAGCTCCTCCTGGACGACGAGGAGTAAGGTCTCGAGGGCACTCCGCCTCGCTTCCCTGAACCCACATTCATCCCTGCTGCTACTAGATCCTTCCGAAAGAGGCATTCGGAGTCGGAGTCTGACTCCAAGATCTAGTTCTCTCTGGAGCACGCTTTCGGTGACTTCGATTTTGTTCCCGCTGGCACCTTGTCTGCTCGCCTCAAGACTTGGAATCACGGTGGCCAGGTTAGATTTAAAATCGGATGCTAAATTGCTAATCTTGAATTCATTTCTGATTACTAGTTTAGGATCTTGTTTGTTTTCGCTCTGTTTTGCTGTTCTGGGAATCTAATTAATTGCTAAAATAAAATTTAAAAACTGAGGTACAAATTGGGGTTTACTGAAGACCGTACGCTTCCTCTCGCCCTTCTCTTTTTTTCCCTTTTATCTCAGAAATTCAATGAAGTTTTTGAATTCTTTTGTTGAGATTTGAATTATTGATCCTGATTGATCCTGAATTCTTTGTCAATTACAGTTGGCTTGATGTTCTTTTTAGAAAATTCCAAGTATGATAATGGATTTGACATGCAATTTTTTTGACAGACACTTACAAAGCTGTGTTTTCCAAGAAATGGTTTCACTGATGAGGAGAAGGAGAAGTTCAAAGTAGTTGCATGTTATTTGAAATCCTGATTTTGTTTTTCTTTTTCTTTTTTTTCTTTTTTTTTTGTCCTTACAATGAATCATTGTACATCGCTTTTATTTGTATTGTTCTCTGTCCTACAGAATTTGCTTCGAGGTGATAACTTCTAAAGGATAAGACTCCCATCCAGTGTTCTAAGTTCACCTGGGAGGGATTATATTGTCTCATCAGTGAAAGCGGTAAGTTAACCACTTAAAGGTTTTTTCGAATTCAAAACTTTTTGATCCCTCTGGTTAATTATCTTTCTCTTGAGGATTTTGCTACTATTTCGTAAGCTCTTAAGCTTGTTGGTCAAATGGACATTTACTTTTCTGCTTTTGGATTGAAACTTTTTGACCATATAGTTATCTGTCAGATTTAAGGTCTTTACCAACTTATGTTCAACCAAGCTCAAAAGGGGGTCTCTGCAATCTGCCTTAAATCTGTTGACCACACAGCATGCCTTGAATCTAAATGTTTATTTCATCTCACTGTTTGATCTTAGTCACTTTTATTAAGAACTCTTACTCTTAGCACTTGTCTAAAAGAAGTTGAATAATTTTCCCGTAAATTTTGATGCTATAAAAATTTGACAGTGGAAGTTAAGAGCTTTTTGTTTGAATTTGAAACTTTAGTTTTCAAATATTAATTTAAAAAATGTAATGCCATAATGCTCCTCCATCAATTACCAAATTATTCTAAAAATTTAATAAATTATGCTGCTCTCTTTGAATTTATACGGTTCTTCACCATCTTTTTGTTTAACTGCAGAGATGTCTTCCACGGGAGGTTTTGGACGAGCATTTTGTCATACACACAGTAATTTAGAGTTAACTTTATGTGTGGTGCTGCATCATCCCCTCCCCCTCTCCTGGGTGTGTTTGTAGGACAGGGTTTTCGATAATTGTTCTAATTTAGTCAAACTTGTTATGAAGAAATTTGTTTTTTCAACTTCGGTGTGTAATGTAATGTGTAAATTTTTCTAACACTTGTTTGAAATGGGATTAACTCTAGTTTGATACTTATCATATTTTTAAATGAAAATCATTATATTTCCACTTTTAAAAAGACTTTTTTTTATTCAATCAATGGTAATGAGTTTCCCTTTTTTGGTGCTAACTTGCCCAACATCATGGTAAATTTTTACTGCTTTGACATGCATCTAATGTTTACTTGCTCTTTTTTTTTTTTTTTAAGATTACCATATGGTCAGTTTGTGTATAAAATTGGAAAATGTTTTTTAAGGAGGTATATATGATGTTGTCAGGATGAAAGTTCCTTTTCTAGTTCTTGCTGTAGTTTGCCTGATTGCTGTTGCTCTTTTATCCCTACTGTTGCAGGAAGTGTAAACATCTTGGCAGTCAATTATGTGTCCCCAGGGGCATGTCCATATCCTCTGCAGTTGAAACTTGTGAGTTACAGTTTATCTCTTACTTTGCTTTTGTTTCTTAGTTAGTTGAGCAAACTACAGAGATTATAGCCTCTTCCTCAAATTTATTGTTGTCATTGTTGCCATTTGTTCTATTCTACAATTAGTTTAAGCAAATATCTTAAAAGTGTGAACTTCCCTTTGTGTTACTACAATATCTTTTCCTAAGTTGAAGTTGTTATTTTAATGTGTAATGTGTAGAATCATACCTTGCCAACTCATAGATTTAATAGTAAAAATTTAAATTTAATGGGTTATATGGGATCTAAATTTTTTCTCCAACACTTGTCCTGGATGCTGGATCTATAAGAAATTTAGGTCATTTTGAAGTTGCAATTTCAAATGGCATTTCTTGCGCCATAGTATGGTCAATTAAGGTTCATAAGATTCAACAACTATAACCTCATCAAGTGCACGTCAGCATGTCATGGCGTTCAATAACTATTGTCTTCTAGTCTTTTAGAATATTTTATTTTTGCTGAGTAAAACAGAGGATTGATTTTGACATACTGATTTTTCAATACTAACTGAACTTTCACAAAGATTAAAGGTGATTTCTTACAGTCTTAAAAGTTTTTCTCTAGTTGTATTGTAATCTATATTCGCTCTACCTGTACGACAGCCTTTTAAATGGGCCTTCAAAATGTTTAATTTATCTTGTTAGTGAATCGAGTTCATTTAACCTGAAAGTTGAGCTTGATCTCCAATTTGAAGATCTTTATCGTCTCTGTTACTATTTTTTATTTTTTATTAACGTACCTTTTTTATTTAAATAATTAATTAGGCACTCTCCCTAATTTGCAATTGGATTGCAAAACTGGGATTGTTAGATGAAGAAATAACTCTCAATATTAAGGAGTTAACTTCTCATCTAACGATTTTTATTGTATAGTTTTGATTGTACAATTCCCTTTCAAAAGAAAAATACAAATAAAACTATATATCTGTTTAGAAAAGATAGAGCAATATTGGACTATAAAATACTACATATAATATGATAAATGTAGATGGTTCCTCAGATCCCAAGGCCTCTGAGTAGCAAGGGGTATTCGTAGAGAGTCGGAAGCGAAACATGGCAGTTTGATTTCGACATGTAACTGGGCGCAGGTCATGCAATGCCTGCGGATATCTACAACATCCTCAAAGCTATGGAGCTTACATAGTAAAAGAACTATAGCAATGCGATAGTGGAGTCTGATTCCTTGTTGTCAATACAAAAGACCAACCATGGTGCAACTTGTTTTGACCCATACGAAAGTTTAAACAACGAATGTCGAGCCTTCATCTAGGAAAATTAGCATTGTGAATTTTAACATGATTTTTGAGAAATCAGTACATGTAGATACCATGACTTCATGACTGTTACTATTCGGGCATGAGTTTGGCATTATTTTGTTGAATCACCTATAAACTTAACATAAGAAATGACAAAAAGACCTCTTAAGTATTTTATATGTGTGTGAAGGCTTTATATTAATTTTTTATATATGTAAAAAAAAATAATATATTAGAATATTTAGGTTTCATTTAGTATGGTTGTGATTTTAAAATTTTGGTTTTGATTTTAAAAAATTTAGAAACCCAAAATAAAATTAAATAGTTCTATAAATTAATTAAGTTTAAAGTTTTCATTATTTTAGAATTTTATACCCAATAAATTAGTAATTTTAAATTTAAATTTTAGTTTCTAATTGTTAATTTTAATTGTTTGAAGTTTGAAAATCAAAACTAAAAACTAAAAACTACAACTATACTAAATGGAGGATTAGATTATAGATAACAAAAAATCTACTTCTGCAACTACCATTTCTTCTTAACTATCGTTAAAACGAAATCCCCCAAACAAAACATATATCAAATTATATATCATGTTGTGTTTACTTTTTTTAACAAGACCTATCAATTGTTACCTCTAATTGATATAATTTATATATATGGTTCTTCACTGAGATCCCAAAGCCTCTCGACAATAGAGGGTATTTGCAAAGAGGCGGGGAGAACATGGCAGTTTAGTTTCAACAAGCAATTTGGGGAAAAGGTCAAGCAATGCGTGCGGAAATCTACGCCATCCTCTAGTTTTGCATGGCAAAACAACTATAGCAATGTAATAGTAGAATCTAATTCCTTGTTAACTGTACAAAAGGTCAACTATATATGGTACAACTCGTTTATATATGAAAATTTAATCAACAAATGTAGATCCTTTCTTGATCGGTACTATAAACTGTGACATGTATTTTGAGGAGTCAACAAAAATGCATATGCCATGGCTTCATAGCTCTACCACTTAGGTATGGGTTAGTTCTTTTTTCATTTTGAACGGCAAAATTAAATTTATTTGAAACTATGGAGTACAAGTTTTTTTATCCATAGTGGTTATCTCATCCCAAGAACTCTCCAGACATGGGATTAGGAGGGAGAGGATAAATTTTTTATCTAATTCTGCACTCCAAACGCACCCTTAAAGAATGACATCCCTTTGCCAGATCATCATATTCAAACAATACTAAAAGTACATGTAATAAAATTAAAGGATTTACAAGAGTATTTTTTAACGTGAAAACAAAAACAGCATTCAAATTTACTGGTGTTTGCCAAACCACAAGTCTTGAATCGTTATGTATCCATGCAAGATTTATAGCCATTTCTATATTTCTCCATACTAATGAAACAATAACAGAAACTGATCATAGCATTTAATATTATTTTAATAAAAAAACAAAATTTCTTATTTACACCTTTTATACTATTATTTTTTTTATTCAACACTTTCTAATATTTCTAATATTTTTCCTCTGGATCAACAACTTGTATAATTCAAAACTAATTAAAACCCCAAAGGTTAACAGGCACGTCGAGTGCCTCTGGCGTGGACGTTAAATTCCGTTAATGGTTGATGACTTGTCAAGCTTCTGTTGACTTGGGTAAACTTTGTCTGAGGTGGCTTTTTATTGACGTGGCACATAGGTCTCGCATCTGGAATTTCGTTATAGTCCCTAAATTTATCAAATTTTGGATAAGATTGGTCCTTTTACATTGTAAATTTTAAGCTAACTACCCACCTCAAAAGAAAACGAGCTTTACCCATGCGAGTGCATTGATCTTTTCATCTTCCCAAGCTTATTGGTTTGAAAAATCAAAGTAAATTTGTTTGAAATGCATGACTGGGTTTACTTGTTAAAGATCTGTTTTAAAACCACAACATGACTTGAAGCAAAACTAAAATTGCCATTAAATATTTTTATTGTTAGGATATTTTGTTTCAATTTCTGATTGCAAATTCAACAAAGACAAGGCTAGAGACGTAGATTAAAGTGAAAAGAGAAGACATATAGTTCAAGAAACAGTGTGTGGTTTTGGGCGAGAAATAGGTCCAAACTCGACCCGAAGCTTGGCTGTCACATGGTTCGCTGAACAAAGGCGCCATTCATACAGGAGGATCTTCGAGGCCCAAGCAAATAGACGGTGACATGACATCAAATCGATGAGAAACTGATCGCAAGAGTATAAAGCTAGAGCGAAGAGAATTAGAAAACGAGAAGAAACAAGATGAATCACCAGATATCACATGAGGAAGGTGCCCAAAAAAACCAGCGATGGCATAAAGATAAAAAATGCTGCGAAAGAAAGGGATCAGAGCAGTTCGATTGGAGCTCACCCATTCTGATGTTATATGGGTTTCAAACCCATCTGCAAACCCTAGATCTTCAATAGTGGGGAACTTGTTCCTTAAACAAATTGAAGAGGACAGTTTAGTCCTTTCATTCTTTTCAAAAATTATTTTAGGAAAAAGTTCTTATCGGCCTTATCTCTTAAAAATTAGGAGGAAAATCATCCTAAAATTATGTTGTTTTAATAATTTTTTATTAAAAAAGACTAAATTACCATATTTTTAAAGCATGCATTAAGATGTTTTTTTCCCTCTTAATTTTGGAGAGGTAAGGCACAAGGTGAGATGTGGAAGAAGAAAGGCTTGCTTATTCAACAGCATAGGATTAAGAAGAGCACTGCAGAGAGTAGGCCCATTATACGAGGAAAGTTGACAAGGACGGGGAGTTCACAACAGAGAGGATGGGCAGGCAGTTATCCCAATTGGGGTTGGATCCTTCTTTAGCAGTTGATCGTGCACGGAGCAAAATCAAGAGGCCGGAAGAGGGAGATGTCACTTGACAGTAGAGATAGTGATGGTGAGGCTATGGATATGGATGTTGACCAACCGATCAAAATGCTACGCTTAAGGTCTAGATCCCAACCGAGATCAAAGTCACGGCCTCCAAGTGAAATTGTCCCAGGTGAGGGATTTAAGGCATCTAAACAAAAGGTCAAGGCAATCAAATTGGGAAATTAATTTAATTAATTAGCATGATGGATTTGAAATTTTGAATTGAATTCTATCAAAATTATATTTCAATCAAACT